TGATGGCCAAACCGAAGAAGAAGCCCAACAAGGACACATCGCCCCGCGGTGCAGCATCGCCTTCGTCTCCTCAGGTCCGTTCGCCCAGACCAACCGCCCAACAGGTAAGCCGTGAGCCCAGGCCATCTCCATCTCCATCTCCGTCGTTCTTGTGTTTTCATTGCCGTCACCATCTAGGCCCCGGCTGGCGACCACAAAGTCGAGCACATCGTGTACCTCAAGGAGCTGAACATGCTTTCCATTCCGTCGACCGGTACCCACACGCGCGTGCGCACACGCACGACACGACACGCACACGCGCGCATTGAGCCTCGCTCACCGCACGCACGCTCCCCCCCATCTTCATTGGTGACGACAGCGCCGGTTGGGGACGAGGGTCGATTCTCGGTGCACGGGCGGGGACTCAAGCTCGAGTTCGGTGTCAAGGGCGGCCCGCGGGCGGCCGAGGCGTGGGTCCGGACCATTCAGCTCTCGCTGTTGGCCTACCAGCACCAGGCCAAGCGCAAGTTCCTCAAAACGAGTACGCCCCGCGCCCCCGTGCGTGCGTGCGTGCGTGCGTGTGTGCGTGCGTGCGTGCGTGCGTTGCTCACATGTTTGCGCCACGCAATTTTAATCCACAGCGATGAGGCGTTCGGTAAAGAGCGGACCTGCGCCCGGAGCAGTGCCCTCCGGTTCGCCCAGAGACGCGCAGGGCTCCAACTCGGCGCCGCTGCCCGCCGTTCCGTCTTCGCCGTCGGCATCAGGCGCCCGCGCCTCCCTCTCCGACCTCTTTTCCTCCCGCGGCTAAGCCTCGGCACCACCAATCGCTTTCCTGTTCCATTCCTTCAACTTATGTATTCTATCTACCACTTGTCGTTGGGCGAGGTGTGCCCTCGCTTCCTGTGCCGGCCGACCAGCTGCCCAGACTCACGGCTGAAGATGCGCGATGATGCACCGCTATGCCCCACCACCCCGGTTCGTCGCCAGCTCAGACGTGAACGGGGTCAACAGTACACCAGGAGTGTGGGAAGGAAAACGTTTTTGTTGAGCAAAAGGCACTAGAACACTGTTTCGTTGTACACTACGACACGCACTGCAACGCGTTTTTGGGAGGCCTGCACTCCTCGAGACTGTGCGTGTCGTGACGAAGCCTAGTAGGCCACTGTCGACCTTCTGCCGCCGAAGAGACGCACTGGCAGGGTCACGATAGCCACGACGATGCGGGTGACTTCGCGGAGTATGGAGCTGATGATGGGAATGTGCATTCGTGCTGCGGGCCCACAGGCACCACCAGTTTAGCACAACAACCAGGCAGTGAGGACTAGCAACGTACCTAGGTACGATTGATGGTGGTGGTGGTAGAGCTTGGTTTGCTGGTGTGGCCGCACCTGAAGGCGCCCAGGTTTATGTGACAACGGCCGCCAGGCCGCGCCAGGTTCCGGGAAAATACCGGCGGTGAGTTCTTCAGGTTTGTGTCGAAAATTCTGACTGAGCCGTTGGAGCGTCAACATCTTCACTCGAACATTGAAATTGGGATGTCTGACACTGTGTGCTTGAGTAGTCCGAGCCAATGGTATGCGCGTGAGCTAATAGTGTTGGCCCTCGTCATCGACATCTTCTTCTTCTTCTTCATCGTTAGCAAAGTCGTTGTCGTGTTGGTGGAAGAGGAAGTCGTTGCCGCCGCAGCAGACGGAGCCGCGGTGAAGCAGCCGCTCGTGGGCATCGTCGGTCAGCATCGCGAATCGAGAAAGCGGCGCGTACGGCCCACCCATGAGCTCCAACAGCCGGCCCCAAAACTGTGATCGCCGCGCAGCGTTCTGGAAGGAAACTGCATCAGACATGACACACACACGATCGCGCGAGCACGGCACAGACGAACCCGTTCTTCGGTGAATCGGTGCGAAAAGAGTGGATGGCGCGGAAAGAGAACGTCGGTGGACACGTC